CATTATTGGTTAGTTACTTATCAGCTAACTACGCTTACTTCTGCATTCATGTGGTTATTCTGTTACTACTTCTGCATTCTTGTGGTTATTCTGCTGAAACTATTCTTCATATTTTTGGCAAAAGATCCTCTTCCCTACCCTGTTGTTGCACAAAGGGCACAATGTCCTTGTCCATTATTGGAACACTGACTGCTGACTCCTAGACTTGTCTCCTTCTTGCTTAACCAGTGGTATTATGTCGACATGACCTTTCTCAGCTAGCCAACTGTCCACAGAGCTCTCCACACCTGTTCATGTTAGTCTGCACCTCTACTGCTTTGGAAGCAGTCGAATTGGCAGCATCTGCCCAGCAGCAGCAGCTGCTCCAAGCTGGGAACGCGACTGGCGGTGCTGATTTCCAGAGGCTCCTGTGTCCCAGGGGAAGCCAAGGCAGGAGCAGTTGAACGGTGCTGGCGCTGCTGCTGCTCTGTGCCAGAGAGCCCCGGCTGGGCAGGGCACGGTGCCCACTGCGCTGCGGGCTCCTTCTCCTGCCACAGCTGGGCACACCTGGGAACAAGGCATGACAACTTGTGGGCAAACCAAGGGGTTTCTGGGGCTGCACTGCTCTGCACACACCCAGGACACCTGCAGCACAGAGCTTTGGTGCCTAAAAAGATAAAGCAGAGGAAAACAGCTGGAAAATGTTTCATTTTGACCTTCTTACCTGTTCAACAGAAGTCTCCAAAATGAAAGTTACCAAGCAGGGCCTGATCCCTCCTCCTGCAGGAGGGGCCCTGCACTGGCTCCTGCCCAGGGCTGGTACCCTTGTGCTGACATTCAGCTGACTGGGAGTACTTTGTAGTGTAGAAAGTTACAGTAATAGTTTGAATGATTATAATTGCTTTGGCAAAACTGGTTTGGCTCTGTACAGGAATGTGAATTTTGCAAGAAGAGAACATTTTCCCTACGTTTTGTAAAATATTTGAGAAACACTTGTTTGAAGTAATATGTTGCAAACAACTTTTTACTTAAAAGCCTGAGGAAGGTTCTTACTTTTGAGAGCAGTACAATCTTACATTTTAAGAACAGAAAAATGTAGGCAGCTGATGAACTTCAGAATTATTGCACACCAAATTTAGTCTTTCAGAAAGTATTAGTGATATATATCTGATGCAATGCATCTTTTAGCCAGGTTTATTTCATACATATGTTTTCTTTTTATTGGCTATTGAATTTATCCAGTATGCATCAGATAAATTGGGCAGATACTAAATCCAAAGTTGCAGCTTCAAGCAGATTTTAACAGGACTAAGACACATGGTTTCCTGTGTAATATGAAAAGTAGCTGAAGCCTTAGACTATGAATAACTTTTATATCATAACTTAATTGAATGTGATTTTTTCTGAGAGCTGTTAAGTAGGTAAGTGGTTAGCTGGTTATTGAGCTAGTTAGATATGGAAATAATTGATTTGACAGCATTAAAGGAGTATTTTTTTAAAGACACTGGAAGTCGGAGACCGGATGAGTGTAATCAAAGCCTCATTAGTAGAAATCAATGTGACCGTGTTCACAGGGCTCCGAGGATGAGGGAAGAGACAAGGATCTGACTCCATGTTTCAGAAGGCTTGATTTATTATTTTATGATATATATTTTATTAAAACTATACTAAAATAATAGAAGAAAGGATTTCATCAGAAGGCTGATGTCACCCTGGTTTTTTAAGATTTTCTAAGCCTTCTGATGTTGACATTCTTGTAGTGAACTTTCTCACACACTTTCTGTAAATAACTCATTGTTTTGCATTCCTTTATGGAGGAGGAGAAAGTTGATGAACTGTTGGGTTGACCAGTGTCATTGGAGAGGTGTCACTGTCACCTTCCAATCCGCTGTCACTTTTGGAAAACTATAAATGTTGGAGTCAGAAAATAAACTTCCCTTTTTTCTTCACCTTGAGAACAGCGGTGTGAACTTGTGTTCTTTCGTGTCCTTTAGTGACAGGCTAGCTAAGAATAGAAAAAGAAAGAATGGTAACAAAGACTCGTGGCTCGGACTCTCTGTCTGAGCCAGCTGACTGTGATTGGCCATTAATTAGAAACAACCACATGAGACCAATCACAGATCCACCTGTTGCATTCCACAGCAGCAGATAATCATTGTTTACATTTTGTCCCTGAGGCCTCTCAGCTTCTCAGGAGGAAAAATCCTAAGGAAATGATTCTTCATAAAATATGTCTGTGACATATCACCCTTTTTATTTTAATTAAATTAAAAAGAAAAGTGTTTGTAATTTTGTCTGCTGTGCCCATGCAGAGGAAAGAACAAACACTTGACAGGTTATCTGTTGCCAATCAAAACCCCAATCAAGTGCTGATGTGGAATGAGCAGGGAAATAATTCACTTGTAGAACATCCAATTCCATCATATCACTAAAACAATCTTGCAATAGAGGAAAATGCAAAAAACAATGCAAAGAAAGTTCATTGCTTCAAGTCCAAACAGCTGAGTTTCAGGGAAAAGTCCATGGACTGAAGATGTTCCTCTTTGACATCTCTGAAATTCCCTTTTGGTCCTGAAACAGGCTTGCAGAATCCTGAAACAAAGAACTGCTAAAGAAAATCATCAATGATTATCAAAAATCCACTGACACTTATCAATTTTGAGAAAATTTCTAGAATGTCTCAGCCACAGCCCTTTATTGAACCACTTGAGCTGAGGCTAATTTTTGGCTCTTCAATGCTTTTGAGCTGCTACTAGCTCTACTAGCTTTTTCAACTCTTTTTATTTAATTTTTTTTTTTCCCCGAAAGAGCAGCAGCAGAGAGGAGCCTCTGAGGCCTTGCAGGAGGCCAGGCCCTCATGGAAGGATCAGGAATCCCAGACCCAGCCCACAGAATGGTGGCCCAGGTCCTGCCAGGGGAAGCAAAGCCCCCAAACCCAGTGGGGGCCGACTGGGTGGTGGCCCTGGCCCAGGGAGCTGAGCCAAACGGCCCAGACCCAGCCCACGAGGTGGGCTCTGTGGTCTCACAACCCGGCACCCTGCTGCCAATGCCTGGGCAGCATGAGTGACCGAACGCTTCCTCCTCCCTGGACTACCGGTACAGACTGGCACTTGGGAAAGAGAAGCTTTCCCAGGGACTACCACCCCCGTTCAGGGGGTGTTTCGTCCCCACAGCAAGCGAGCGATGGTTGCCGTCCACTGTTTCTCTCACCTCTGCAATGCAAATGCCAGTGTTCCCACTTCCTGCCCCTTGGCACCACCCCGACCCCCTCTGGGCTGGAGACCAGAGGCAGAAGTCCCGGGAGCCACCCCCGCTTGCCGCTGGAGGGCACAGGGGGAGTCAGGCATTCCAACCCCCAACGGGGAACCCCGACCAAACGCAAACCGGCCCGCAAAAAACGCTGAGTTTGAAAGCAGCAGCCGGGCTGCGCCTGCAATCAGCTGTCAAGCCATGCCTCCCCCAAAGGGCAGGCTGGCATCCCCTTCCCCTGTCGGTGCTCCCTCCGCAGGGGCAGCCTCGGGACAGCCCGAAAAACTTGGGGGGGAAGCCGGGCTGATCGCAGGCGCCGTGGCAGCCGCCGCTGGGGGTAGCGGGACCGCGGGCAGCTCCGAAGATGGTCCTGCGGTCTCAGCGCCATTTACAGCATCCTCTTGAACTGGGACCGGGCCGGCGGAAGGTGGCAGAACAGCCAGGGGGGCTGGCGGAAGTGCCGCTTGCTGATCATGGTTCTCAGCTTCAATCTCCTCCACCTGTCCAGCAGGTGAAGGCAGGGCCACTGCCGCTGGAGCCCTCATGGGCTCTTCTGGAGGGGCGACCATGGGAGGGGCTGTGGGGACCTAAGGAAAGGATTTTTCATAAAAGATGTCTGTGACAAGCCAACTTGTTTTATACCTTGCTTTCCTTTTATTTGTTTTTATATCAGTTTCCCTGTGGTCAACAGGCAAGAGAATCTAGATTATCTTGAAACTGGAGAAAATCCTCTCCCCCTGGGGCTGGTCCTGCTCTGCAGCGACAGGCACAGAAGGGGGTTTGCTAGGAGCCTTGGTGGGGGTGGCTTCCAGTGTGCCGGCTTCTTCCTGCATCTCTGCCACTGTACTGTGAGGTTGCTATTCTCCACAGCCCCTGCCAGCCACTAGCTGCCCCAGTGTATTCCATCCTGCCTTTGTCTCAGCCAGGGCCACACAGAGTCTGGAAGATGCCGTTTTCAATTGATTGGTCCTGCCCAGCCCCTGGGCATGAGGCCACCCAGGAGCACTGGGCAAGGGGGGCTATTTTCAGGGCACTTACCCAGCCTGGCTGCTGGCCTCCCATGTCTCTCTCCATGGCAATGTCTGCCAGTAGTCCAGACCTGTGTGCCGAGGTGTGAGGGAATGAAGGTGTGCCATGACGTCCCATTGTGATGTCACTGGATTATCCTCTGTTATCATAGAGGATAACATCGCTGGGTGGTGGATCATGATGTCATGTGGGAGTGGTTTGTGACCTTGCACTCCTTTCTGTTTATATTCAGGGGCTAGATGTCCCTCTGTGGCATCCACCATTGAGTGGTGGATTGTGACATCACTGGGGGATGGATATGAGGTCTCATCCTTCACTACTTGAATTTTGGTGCCAGCTGAGCTTGGGTTCAGACTGGCTTGATCCTTGGCTCCTGCCAAGCATGCCTGGTCATCATCTCTCCCCTCCTGCTGCCACAGGCAGACATGGCCACGGAGACAGAGTGGAGTTGCCCCATCTGCCAGGACACTCAGAATGATGTGGCTTCTGCTCTGCCCTGTCACCACCAGTTCTGCCTGGGCTGTATCCTGCGGTGGGCGAAAAGAAATCCAGCGTGCCCTCTCTGCAGCAGTCCACTAGAGACTGTCAGGTTTTCTGAGCGGGGTGGACAGGACTACATACAATTTGCTATCAGCTGTCCTGAAGAGTCACCAGAGACCAACAGACAGGCAGGGAGAGCTCTCCTCCACCTTGCTGAAAATAGCCTCCATGGCCCTTTCATGTCTCCTCCGTCTTCCCCACAGGGAACACTGTCCCAGGCTGAGCAGGGAGCTGCAGAGCCAGAGCCTGTAGGTAGCCTTCTGCCCCAGGTGTGGGCAAGACTGTTCCAACAACAGCAGCACCTCCTGGATCCTGTGCAGCCCTGGCTGTGTGAGAGGCTGGCAGAAATCTATGGGGACCAGTGGTGGAGGGCAGAGGCTGCAGAGGCCTCCATCCTGCACAGCCTTTGTGCCCATGGTCCAAATGCAGAGGCCTTGGTGGAGGTGCTGCAGCCTCTCCTCAGCGGGCACACAGCACCACTGGTCCATGGCATCATCAGCACCATTGTGGGCCAGTGCAGCGAGGAGGCCCAGAGGCTGCTGCGCTTCCATCACACCAGAGAGGACAACAGGCCTGTGGCCAGCACCAGCTCCAGCAGCTCCAACTGCACTAGCTTGCAGGAGAGGACTCCTGCCACTGGCTCTGCAAGCTTCAACATGGAGGAGGAACCTGGAATGTTACAGGCCAGCCTCCAAGGGAGTCACAGCTGTCCCCAACCTGTGCCTGACCCTGCAGAGGTGGACCAGCCCCAGGAGGACCCAGAGCAACCAGCAGTGGCAGGTCCATCTGCCCAGGGCAGCATCTGCAGCCCCTCTGCTCCTGGCCAGGGCAGGAACCACTCTCTCAGGGATCCCCAGCGTGTCCGAAAGAGGAGAGCCCCCAGATCCCAGGATTCCCTTTAGCCCAGCAAGAGGCCGCTCTGATGGTGGCGCTAGAGAGATCCCAGGAACCCTTTAACCAAGAAAAAGTAAATAAATTCTATTTCTCTGACAAAGTTCCTACTTCCCCCTCCTTCTAATGTCCTTGCCTGACCCCCACACCCCACCATCAGCTGAGCGCCTCTGGAGCCCCAAGACCATTTTGGCAACACCTCCTCACACAGGAAATCTTGCTGTGATGGTGGAAGAGCTTCTGAGAAAGTGGGTGCTGTGCACCACTTGCTTATCTTGGAAGATGTGTCAGAGCTGTCTGCTGACTTACCTGGACTTCTGTAAGGCGTTTGACACAATTCCCCCCCCAAGATGCCTCCCCTCAATGAGAGAGAAATGGATTAGGACAAAGCAGAAATCAAACTGAGTAAATAGATCTATAAGCAGAAATCCTGCTTAAAATAAGGAATCAAAATTCATTCTGAAAAGCAGGACCAGCCCAAGGAGCAGCCGTAGCCATGGAGACAGGCCTGGAAAGGTCACCAGAAGTCACCAACTAGGCAGGGACAGCTGGCAATGCCCTGAAAACAGCTTCAGATAGCTCAGTGTCTTCAGTTTGTCTGTCTGTGGGTTCTTTGATTGGTTAGCTGGTTATTTGGTCATTTAGTTATGTCTGGACTGGCTTATTCCAGATGATTTTTGTTTTCATTAGGATTTGTTAATTACTGACATTCTGCTTTGGATGTGTGAAATTTTCATGAATATTTTCTTCAAAACAGTCATTTTTATCTTCTAATTAAATGTCTAAATGTTCATTTAAAAAGATATAATCTCTCAACTACTGCTGGAGAGAGCAGGTTGTTTTTTTTATTGGAAAACAGTTGGTGACACAGTCCCTGGTGAATAGTTTCCAAATGTTACATATACTCATAACAAAGAAATCTATTATTATATTGCAACCAGTTCTAACATCTCTGATTTTGCCATTTTTAAATCCTAAGGTGGAGCGGTGGCCGGTGGAAAGTGAAACGCCCAGGCTAGATAAGTGTCCAGCCAAACTCCAGCCAGTCAGGCACTTCCCCAACCCGAAGTCAGGGCCTTGTGCCCAAGGCGATGTCAAGCCTTGCGGACGTGTGGCCGCAGTAGAGAGCTCCGAAGTCGCAGGATGAAATGAAGAGGCGACCCTCAGTTTCTTCGGGGGGGGGGGGGGGGGTGGTTTTATTGGTAGGGAAACGTGGAGTTTCAGGGAGAAGAAGCTGAGGGCCCCGAGGCAGGGAAAGCCTCGGTTTTACAGAGGGTGGGAGGGGTGAAAGATAGCAAATCAGAGAGGGATACATTAAGGATTGGCATAATCAGAGAACCCATCAAACACAGTTGCGGGAGGGACCCTGGCCCCTAACCCAATCACTCGACACCCTGGCCCGAACTCTCTAGAAAAAGAGGCAGGGGTGTCGAGTGACAGGCAGGCTGCCAGGGGTGGGGAACAAGAAAGATAACCAAGACAGCTGGGGAGGGGTTTGGGGATTGACACAAACTGGTAACAGGGCAGGACCTTCTGAGAGAACAATGGGGGGAAAACTGAACAAGCATAAAACACACCACAACATCTCCCCCTTTTTCATTTAAAAATAAAAGAACTGTAAGGGCAAACACCATTCAAAATGAAGTTTCAGCCTGCTCCGCGTCGCTAGAAACTGAGCTGGAGTCTTCAGGATCGGAGTTCTCTGACGAAGTGGTGTCAACTCTTTCTCCTTCTTCTTCTGAGACTTCTGCTCGGCTGACGTCTGGGACATTGATGGTCCTGGATATAAGTCTCTTTACGAGTCCCCAGACTACAGAGCAGGCGATCAAAACAATAAGTAAAACTAAAAGGGTGGAAAGTATAGTTTTCAGGATGGACTCAGCCCAGCTTGACAGGCCCCATCCTTGAAAGCGGTCCCCCAACCAGTCTGATGTCTGTTGTTTTATTTGGTGGACAAGGCCTTGCATTTTATCTATGGCCACCCTCGCATCCTCGGCCCGAGATGACAAATTAAGGCAGCAGAGGCCCTCAAACTCCTCGCAGCGGTGGTGATGCAGTAAAAGCAGGAAGTCAATTGCCACGTGATTTTGGAGGGTCGCCTTCCTTGTAATTTCCTCGTCTGTGAGGAGGTCTGATAGCGTCGCTGATGTTAAATTGGCTTGCTTAGCTACCCAACACTCCAGGTGGGCCAATTCACCTAGAGACTTGGCCACAGACACCCAGGGCAAAAACAGGGTGAGGGCTACAGTTTTTGGTTTTGACCAATGTTCAATTTGGGAGTCACAATCCGGGTCGAGATCTTTGAGATCTCTTTTGGAGCGGGCCGAATTCGGTTGTGCTCTTTTCATTTTCCAATCGCGAATTTGGGTAATGTTGGGTGTAAGCAGCGACAGCCGCCCAAAAGTGCAGATACCTCCGGCTAGACGAGCGGGGATGCCAGCCCAAGCTCGGTCTCCGCAAATGAAAAAGATACCTCGGGACAGGGACAGCGGTTGGCTACCCAGGGTGGAAGCAAGTGGCATCTCGATGGTCATTCGACACCACTGGGCAGCTTTGTACTCGGGCCTTGATGGTTTGATCCACGAGTACCTGCTGTCCCAAGGGTTAGGGGCGAACTGAAACCAAATACAGAGGGAAGCATTGGCAGAGCCGAGCAAATTAAGCTCTGGAGGTTCAGAGCTCAAAGGGGCCAGCCCCTTGACTCCTTCTCCCCAGGCATTTTGTGCATTGATTTTTAGAGGAGGGGTCTTGGATAAGAGGGAGGTGAGGGAAGTATTGAAAGGGGAGGGAAATTCATTAAGGGAGAAAGGGATCCCCACAAGGCATGACGACATAGGGTCCTCTGCTGAGCCCATATCTAAACATATGTGTTCTTGGCAAGGGCACTCGCGAGGGTGCGCCAAACGTTGGCCTTGGGCTGGGGGACGATCCATGGGCCCACTGATGACATCAGGGTCCAGATGAGGACGGCTGTCAAGCGGGCTAAGATGTAGACACGTTCCATCGGGGGAAAACTAAAATCAAACAAGAGACAGACATAAGGAATGACTCTGAATCAGGTCCTGCCCGGGGCAGGGAGAGGGTTAAACTAGGAGTGGCTCCATCCCTGGGAGCTTCCGCCGCCGCCGCCAACATGCCTCCGTGACCTGTTCTATGTTTCCTGCTCTCAGAGTCTTCCCAGGGCGGAAGGGCTTGACCCACTTAGCGGGGATCCATCTCGGCCCTGAGGGGGTGGAAATGCAAGCGTATCCCCTTCCCCAGGTCACAAGATCGAAAGGCCCTTCCGTTTTCCAGGTCTCCAGATCCTTAATCAGGACAGGAGGCCTGGCCCTGGCCTGCAGCTGCTCATGTCTCCCGAAATGTCGCACGATAGGCGGATTGAGATTTTCAAACGAACAGTTTAGGAAATTAATGGTAAAAAGCGCCTTCGTGAGACGGATATGGGGGGACTCCACCTTCATGGCCACTCGTTGTTGTTCCAGAACTCTTTTTAGGCTCTGGTGGGTTCTTTCTACCACGGCTTGGCCTGTCGGGGAATAGGGGATGCCGGTCTTATGCTCTATTCCCCATTGTTGCAGGAAGCTTCGCAGCTCCCTGGATTTATACACCGGGCCATTGTCTGTTTTCAGGACCTTGGGGATGCCCAGGACAGCGAACGCTTGAACTAGATGTTTTTCACAATCTGCTGCCTTTTCCCCTGTGTGGGCAGAGGCATAGACTGCGCCGGAGAAGGTATCCACTGAGACATGTACGAATTGCAGACGGCCAAAGGAAGGAATGTGGGTAACATCCATCTGCCACACCTCGCAACTAGATAGACCTCTGGGGTTAGCTCCCAAGGGTATTGTTGGGAGCTGGTGGGACTGGCAGTGGGGACATGTAGCCACGATCGCCTTGGCCTGTTCACGTGTAAGATGGAATTGTCGAACAAGGCCAGGGGCATTCTGATGAAATTGCTGGTGGCTGATCTTGGCCTGACTGAACAGATCAGGGAGTGGGGCAGCTTGAACGGGAGCGGCAAGGGCGTCAGCACGCCTATTGCCTTCCGCAATAAACCCAGGCAAATCGGTATGTGACCTGACATGCATCACATAAAAGGGTTGCTCTCGGTGGGAGACTAAGTTCACAAGCTTAGAGAGCAAGTTAAACAAAGGGATGTTTGATACCTCCTGTAAAATTGCATTTTCGGCTCTGGAAACTACACCCGCGACATAGGCTGAATCAGTGACTAAATTGAATGGTTCAGAGAACCTCTCAAAGGCTCTGACGACTGCGTCCAACTCAGCAACTTGAGGTGAACCTTCCACCTCGGTGACATCTGCCTCCCACCGCTGAGTCTGAGGATCCTTCCAAGTCATCACTGACTTGTGGGATGCTCCAGACGCGTCTGTAAAAACTGTCAAAGCCTTCAGAGGGGTTCTACTCTGAACTGATTTTATAGACAATGTGAATTCCTGATTGAATAATTTGTGGGCTGGCCGATCTACTGCAATTTGGTCGGTGTAGCTGTCCAAAGCCAGTTGAAGCGTCTCATTTGTTTCCAGAAGGTTATCAATCATCTTTCTTTTTAGATGGCCTGAATCGAATTTTAAAGGAATGTGGATGCAGTCAAAGTCACCACCTGCCAACTCTCTGATCCGTGATCTAGCCTTTCTGATCAATTCTGCCACCAGCTCGGCTGGCTGCGTCATCCTTTTGGACCTGTGATGGCTGAGGAACACCCACTCTATGATTAAGAGGGGATCCCCCGAGCCCCGGTCCTTGCCCTTGATGGAATCGTCCCACTGGAAAATCACCCCATGGAGGGGTGGCAGCTTACCTAGAACAATGAATTTAAATGGCAGGCCCGGGTGATATCTGTGGGCCTGCTTGGCCGAGATGGAGTTTTGGATCTTCTCCAGCGCTGTCTGGGCCTCTGGGGTAAGGGACCTTGGAGAACTAAGCTCTTCTCCCCCTTTCAATAAATTGAAAAGGGGGGCTAGGTCTTCTGTTGGAATGCCTAGCCAAGGCCTTACCCAATTCAAGGACCCACACAGCTGGTGGACATCCGCCAGGTTTTTGATGTTAGTTTTAATAGCCAATTTTTGCGGAACAATGGTCCGCTTCATTATTTCCAGGCCCAGGTACTTCCAGGGTGGCATCTGTTGAATCTTATCTTGCTGGAGCTCAAACCCTGCAACAACCAATGCATCAATTGTCAGGTCAAGCGCGTGGGTAAGTAGGTCGTTGGTCGGAGCGCACACTAGGATGTCATCCATATAGTGGTAAATAATGGTGTCTTTGGTGGCTGCACGTACTGGGGACAGCAAGGAGGCGATGTACCATTGGCAGATCACTGGGCTGGCCTTTAGGCCTTGTGGAAGAACT